CGTTGCGCATGGCTATTCGTCTCGCACGGGCTTGCGTTCGCACGCGCGCGCGCCGCCGGTGTGCACAGGCGCAAGTAGAGCAGCCCAGAGCGAGATGGCACGGTTGTCGGTCGGCGTACCCCCCGTTCCCCCCCTCCAGATACCCCGGGGCGTCGCCAGAATTTTGAAGACACTCGTTGCCAGTTTGAAGCATATCCCTATCCTTATGTTTGGCATCACCTTACCACGCTGCCGATCTTGCGGATTTCCCTTGTTTCTGAGGGCACATCCCTAAGATCGTCATCGCTTTTTGCTTGCCGATCTTATGGATAGGGATAAGTTCGAGTCTGGTTAACTCGCCAGGGAGGGCGGGAGGGGGTGAGGAGGGGGGGGAGGAGGACGGAAGGATGGCCGTTCTACCCACGCTGCTGTCTCGAGAGTCGTCGAACAGCCGTGCGACGGAGACTGGGGGGGGGTTGTGCAGCATTAGTCCCCCCCTGTGCTGCCCACCGCCGTCGCCGCAGCCCTCATCGAGGAGGGCGCGATGAGGAGCGCGTGCTTCTCCGTTGCCAACGCCCGCGGCGGCCCGGGGCGCAGGCTGAGCATGCAGCTCCGGTGGTTCCCCGAGGGCAACCCGAGGAAGAAAACCCTGCGCGGCCATGAACTTTCGACGGGCCGCGCGGATCTCTCGGATCGGCGCTGGGGCCCCCCTGGCGGCGCCTCCGGCGCCGTCTCCGGCGCGCTCCGCGCGCCTCTGGGAGACCCTGCGCAGAGCCACGAAGCCCCCGCGGGCCGTCGATCGTTCCTGCTTGCCGGCCGCCCTTTCTTCCTCCGGCGACGCTCTCTGCGCCCGGGAGGAGGGCGGCTGCTCCTTGTACCTGGTCGCGGTGCCGGAGGGTCGCCCGGGCGGCGGCGGCGGCGCGGCGACGGCCGCGGTGACCTTCCGGCTGTCCGTCCCGAAGCAGAAAGCACGCCACAGGCATTACGCTTTTGGCGCTCCGCGCGGGCTTCTCGGATCCGCGCTGCGCCGCCCCGTTGCGGCGCTTCTGGCGCCGCCCCTGGCGCGCTCTGCGCGCCAGGGGGGGGGGTAATATTTCTCTATCCATATCCAGAGCGTCTTGGGCTGTTTGGGAAGGGGTGCCGCAAGGCCGAGTCGCACTGGGCATGGATCAAAATCGAGCCTTTCGGGGCCAGATGTTTATCCATGTCCAGTGCGCCTCCAGCTTCTGGGGCAGGGAGCCCCCAAACTCCAAGACTCACTGGATGTGGATAGAACTGTTGCTCGCACCCAGGAGGGGGGTCCGGCGCGGACCCAGGAAATCCGCGCGGAGCGCCAAAACGTTTGTGCTCATGCCGTCGTTTCTGCTTCTGCCGTCGGCTGCCTGCGGCGCGTCTTCTGCCACGACTTCGGGGCCAGCCCGCAGTGGGGGTGCTCCGACTTCGGGGACATGCGCAGGGCCCTCCTGCGCCCCTCAGACGACCGGCTGTGCGTGCGCGCGACGGCGCGGGGGGGTGTCCTCGATCCTGCTCCTCCTTCCCCTCCCTCCTCCTTCCCCTCCTCCTCCTCCTCCTCCTCCTCATCCTTCCCCTCCCTCCTCTCTCCTACCTCCCTCCCTCCTCTTCTCCTCGTCCCTCTCCTCCCTCACTCCTCTTCCTCCTTTCCTCCCCTACTCCTCCTCTCCTACCCCTCCTCCCCCCCCTCCTCCTGCTCCCTCCTCCGCCTCATCCCCTCCTCCTTCCTCCTCCTCCTCATCCTCCTCTCATCCTCCTTCCTCATTCCCCCCCCCTCCTCCCCCTCCCCATTCTCCTCCTCATCCCCTCCTCCTCCTCCTCCTCCTCCTCCTCCTCCCCACACCACCCCAGCCCACCCTTGAGTCGGGCGTGGTAGGGGGCCACATGCGAACCCTACCCCTACCCCACACGATTTCTGAGGGGGAGGGTGGGGTTCACTTCGCCCGGGAGCTCCCGAGCGAAGCGAACCCCTCCCCCCTCAGACATCGTGGGGGGTAGGGGTAGGGTTCGCATATGGCCCCCCTGCGTGTCCCTCTGCAGGAGGAACATTCAAAATTAGGAAACATAGTCTTGGGACATAGTCCAAATAGGCTTGCCCATAAGTAATTAGTATTTTTTCCCCCGCTTCTTCCAATGGCCCCCTTATTTCCAATGGCTCCCCTTTTTCCAATTGCTCCCCCTTCTGTATGCTTGCTTGCTTGTTTGCTTGCTTGCTTGCTTGCTTGCGCGCTTGCTTGCACGCTTGCTTGCTTGCTGAGTTGCGGATTCCAAGCATGCTCGATTCCTCTGGCTCCTTGATTTGAGTCCTCTAAGCTGCTTGGAGTCAACGCTGGCTGATACTTTTTGTACTTTTAATTCTTCGTCCCAAATCGGGGGCATTGGAAAAACACGTGCGGAGCCCGACCCACCCCGAAGCTGTTTTTCTGCACCCGACCGCCCAGCCCATCGCGCCTGGGCCTGGTGCTCGCGACGGTGCCGCCGCCTCGCCCAGTGAGGGAGCAGGCGTGTTGGCCCGCGCACGCGGGCCGCCCCTGTCGCATCGCATGCAGCGGTCGGCGAGCCGCGCGCCAGGCCGGACACTGGAGCTTCTACATTACCAAGGATTTCAATCCCAGGATTTTCATATACTCACCCAGAGGGCGGACCGGTTGTCCTCGGCAGAAATCCAGCACGAGCTGACGACTCGCGCTTACTAGGAATTCCTCGTTGAAGATTAATACTTGCAATAATCTATCCCCATCACGATGCGATTTAAAAAGATGACCCAATCCCCGGATTTTTTTAGGGTCGGGGTCGACGTCGGGGTGGTGTGGTGTATACTTGTTTCCCTATGTCTTCCTGGGGGAGCAACGCAAAATGTACACACTAGGATCCCGTATATATATATATATATATATATATATATATATATATATGCACCAGGCTTCGCTTTCCTGTGCGGATGTCCATGCAGGGCCGGAGGGAAAAAAAACGTCGGTGTCTAGAGTTTGCCTCCTCACCAAGAGGCCACGCCTTGCCCATCCCGAAGGTCGGGTCTCCGTGGCGGGGGGGTGGTTTGGCAGGCAGCCGGTGCCCAGGGACACAGGTGCGCGTGAGCTCCGGAGGCCCGCCGCGGACTCTGGGGGGGGGGGGTCGGCGCGGCCGGGCCCGGCCCCCTTCGCCTCGGCCTCGGGCATCGCTGGGACGCGTGCGCTGTTCTTCCGCAGAGGCCATCGAGGAGCATGTCGTAGCGACGCCTTTTTTGGAGACGAAAAGGGGCGCGTGCCGAAATTCATTCCAAACGAAATTGAGCTTTTCTTGATGATTTCGGTGTGCAGGCGCGCCCTGTCGCGCGGTGGTTTCCATGCGCATCGTAGAGCGTGCTGACGCATAACGCGAGGAATTCGCTCTGCACGTTGCGAGGAGGAATTCGCTCTGCACGTTGCGTGCCAATCACGCGTGGCTTGAGCTACTTCGCAGACGCTTTCTGGCGAGGTCCTTCGAGGGCCCCCTCAGGGCCCGCCGGAGCATGGAGCATGTCTGCTCACCTTTGCCCGAGCATGTCCTCCGGGTGGAGGGCCATGGGCGAATCCTGACATGCCGCTTCGGTGGGTCTTCGAGGCCTGGAGCTGCAAGAGGCGAGCCGCAGCGCGGATGGACTTTTCTTTTCGAGGTGCACAAAAGCCCACGGGGATTTTTCACCCGCAGCCCTCCGCCCGGAGGGCCGCTGCTCGCCTCGGCGACGGAGCTGCGCGCGCGCGAAGCCGAAGGGGTGCACGGGGCGTGGGCGGGCGAGCGCCTCGGCGCGTGGCGGCGCCTCTCCCGCGGCGTTCTCTCTCCTCCGAGGGGCGGGGGGCCCCGGCGGCCGACCCTGGGCGGCGGGCCTCCGAGGGCCTGCGGTATCTTCGGGGGTGCCTTCTCGGAGCTCCCGGGGAGTGCCAGAGTACAGGCGCTCCGGGCCTGCCAGGACCTATATCTGGATCGCCTGAGGCCTCGGCCGGCATGTGGGCATTGGGGTCCAGGCACCCCCTGAGCTTCCGGAGTGCCAGGGCACTTATCCGGACCGCCCGAGGCCTACCTGGGCCTATCTGGACCTCTCTGGGCCCATCTGCGCCCATCTGGAGCGCCTGAGGCCTCGACCGGCGTGTGGGCATTTGGGTCCGGGTGCTGCTCTTTGGCCCTCCTGGAGGGTCCGGGTCGATGTGTGGTGGCCTTGGGGCACGAGGCTTGGCGAAAGCGCCCGGCGTGGACAACATCGGGGGTGGACGGATTCCCCACCCTGACACGTCGACTAGCGAATCGTCCGTGTTCGGTTCTCGGGAGGGCGCCGCGGCCGTCAATTTCCAGGCTTGCGCCCGCTAGGGTTGGGCCCGAGGTCGTTTTCACTAAACCGTGTTGTGCTAGATCTATGTCGGGCGTGTCCCCCTACACGGGGATTCTCGACGAAAAATAAAAATGCAGTAAGAACAATAAGAAAAAATAGTTGGGAAATAATCAGGGGACTATTTTACCTAACAGCGAAGACTGATAGGTTTCTAGTAAGGTCAAAAGAGAGCATCTTGACTCCCCAGGGGGGTCTGGGCGCGATCCGGGGGAGGATGCCGGGGACTTTTTTTAGCCAGCAGTAACGCACTTCGTGGTCTTTGAGTTCCCAAAAGTCAATTCTTGGGCATGATTTTCAATGCCCGGAGCCAACTGTAGGCCACTTCGTGTTCTTCGAGCTCCCAAAACTCCATTCCTGGGCATGATTGTGAATGCCCGGAGCCAGCTGTAGGCCACTCCGTGGTCTTCGAGTTCCCAGAACTCCATTCCTGGGCATGATTCTGAATGCCCGGAGCCAACTGTAGGCCACTCCGTGGTTTTCGAGTTCCCAGAACTCCATTCCTGGGCATGATTTTGAATGCCCGGAGCCAGCTGTAGGCCACTCCGTGGTCTTCGAGTTCCCACAACTCCATTCCTGGGTATGATTCTGAATGCCCGGAGCCAACTGTAGGCCACTCCGTGGTTTTCGAGTTCCCAGAACTCCATTCGTGGGTATGATTTTGAATGCCCGGAGCCAACTGTAGGCCACTTGGTGTTCTTCGAATTCCCAGAACATCACTCCCGGGCAACATTTTGAATGCTGAGGCAGGCTGATGCTGAGGCTGAGGCAGGCTGAGGCTGGGGCAGACTGAGGCTGAGGCCGAGGCTGAAGGCAGACAGAGGCTGAGGCTGAAGCAGGCTGAGGCTGAGGCTGAGGCAGGCTGAGGCTGAGGCTGAGGCAGGCTGATGCTGAGGCAGGCTGAGGCTGAGGCCGAGGCTGGCTGATGCAGGCTGAGGCTGAGGCAGGCTGAGGCTGAGGCTAGGCTGAAGGCAGGCTGAGGCTGAGGCTGAGGTTGAAGCAGGCTGAGGCTGAGGCAGGCTGAGGCTGAGGCCGAGGCTGAGGCAGACTGAGGCTGAGGCTGGCAGGCTGAGGCTGAGGCTGAGGCAGGCTGAGGCTGAGGCAGGCTGAGGCTGAGGCCGAGGCTGAAGGCAGACTGAGGCTGAGGCTGAAGCAGGCTGAGGCTGAGGCAGGAGGCTGAGGCTGAGGCAGATGCTGAGGCTGAGGCTGAGGCTGAGGCTGCTGAGGCAGGCTGAGAGCTGAGGCAGACTGAGGCTGAGGCTGAGGCAGGCTGAGGCTGAGGCTGAGGCTGCAATGCAGGCTGAGGCTGAGGCAGGCTGAGGCCAGGCTGAGGCTGAGGCTGGCAGGCTGAGGCTGAGGCTGAGGCTGAGGCTGAGGCAGGCTGAGGCTGAGGCAGGCTGAGGCTGAGGCTGAGGCTGCAGGCGAGGCTGAGGCTGAGGCCGAGGCTGAAGGCAGACTGAGGCTGAGGCTGAAGCAGGCTGAGGCTGAGGCTGAGGCTGAGGCTGAGGCTGAGGCTGATGCTGAGGCAGGCTGAGGCTGAGGCTGAGGCTGAGGCAGGCTGAGGCTGAGGCAGGCTGAGGCTGAGGCCGAGGCTGAAGGCAGACTGAGGCTGAGGCTGAAGCAGGCTGAGGCTGAGGCTGAGGCAGGCTGAGGCTGAGGCTGAGGCAGGCTGAGGCTGAGGCAGGCTGAGGCTGAGGCTGAGGCCGAGGCTGAAGGCAGACTGAGGCTGAGGCTGAAGCAGGCTGAGGCTGAGGCTGAGGCAGGCTGAGGCAGGCTGATGCTGAGGCAGGCTGAGGCTGAGGCTGAGGCTGATGCAGGCTGAGGCTGAGGCAGGCTGAGGCTGAGGCCGAGGCTGAAGGCAGACTGAGGCTGAGGCTGAAGCAGGCTGAGGCTGAGGCTGAGGCAGGCTGAGGCTGAGGCTGAGGCAGGCTGATGCTGAGGCAGGCTGAGGCTGAGGCTGAGGCTGATGCAGGCTGAGGCTGAGGCAGGCTGAGGCTGAGGCCGAGGCTGAAGGCAGACTGAGGCTGAGGCTGAAGCAGGCTGAGGCTGAGGCTGAGGCAGGCTGAGGCTGAGGCAGGCTGAGGCTGAGGCTGAGGCAGGCTGAGGCTGAGGCTGTGACTGCGACTGCCGTTGCCACTGCGACTGTCATCGCGAATGCGACTACGACTGCGAGAACAGCAGAATTCTACAACTGGATTCTCATCTGAATCTTAAGGAGAATGCTTCCAGATATGCTACACATCGCTGTCAGGTTGCTTTGCTGGGATAATTCGGAGTTTTTTTTGTTTGTTAGCCTTTTTTTGGGTATTTTGAGGTATTTACCTACAGCGAAGACTGATAGGTTTCCAGTGGGCTCAAAAGAGAGCATCTTGACTCCCCAGGGGGGTCTGGGCAGATGCCGGGAGGAATCCGGGGACTCCCCAGGGGGGTCTGGGCAGATGCTCGGAGGACTCCGGGGACTCCCCATGACTCCCCAGGGGGGTCTGGGCGGCTGCCGGGGAGAATCCGGGGACTCCCCAGGATTCTTATAGATTCCTATAGTTTCCTATGGATTCCTACAGATCCCTACAGATTTCCGATAGATTCCTATAGTTTTTCCTATGGATTCCTATAGATTCGTGTACACTCCTTAGTTTTCGATGGTTTTCCGATAGATTCCCTGCTTGCGTTTCCATCGCGAATAGCGTTGCCACTGCGACTGTCATCGCGAATGCGACAGCGACTGCGAGAACAGCAGAATTCTACAACTGGATTCTCATCTGAATCTTAAGGGGAATGCTTCCAGATATGCTTCTACACATCGCTTGCCGGAATAGTTGTTATTTTTCGTAGAAAATCCCCCTGTAGGGGGACAGGCCCGACATAATACTAAATGGGGGTTCTGCCCATCCCCGATACATGCTCATGAGCCTCTCGGAGGTTGTTTTTCTCTGGGCTCCAGCAGGTTTACTTGCACGGAGGGGGGGGCGTGGCGAGGCCCGGGAGGAAATCTGAAGTTTGCGCAAGTCGGGACTCGCTTACGCGCCTCTTCGGCCCAGCGGTGCGTGCAAAGGCGGCGGAGAGAGGGGGAATTAGGGGGCCAAATGCGAACCCTACCCCTGCCCCCCACGATTTCTGAGGGGTGGGGTGGGGTTCACTTCGTTCGGGAGCTCCCGAATGAACTGAACCCCACCCTCCCCCTCAGAAATCGTGGGGGGTAGGGGTAGGATTCGCGTTTGGCCCCCTAGGAGTGCCATGCGCGAGGAAACTTGCCTGAGGCACAAGATAAGCGCCCTCCTGCTTATCCAAAAAGGCACGCGAGGTCCCTTGCGCCTCCCGGGGCCTCCCTCCACGCACCATGGCGGCGCCTCCCGCGGCGTCCTCCCCCAGCGCGCCCCGCGTGCAGGGGCCAGGGGCTGTGGAAAGGGGGGCCTTGTGCCGACTCTAGTGGAAGTCTGTGCGGGCCTCTGAGGGCTTGCTGTGCTCATGAGCTTCTCTTACGGGGCCCAAACATGTACACCACCACCACCTCCCTCACGCCCTCCTCACCCAGGAAAGAGGAACGTCAGAGGAGGGTAGAGGAGGGAGGATGAATGGACGTGGTGTTGGTTTATATTTTTTGGATCTGCTTCTCCAAGAAGGTGCTCGAGGTCCCCGCTCGCTTCACCGTGCGGCCGCCAGCCGCGCTGGGCTGCCCTGGGCCCCCTTACGTCCCGCCCGGCAGCGCGGCAACGGGTAGCCCGGGCGCGCCGCAGTGGGCGACGTGGACGCTGGACTGCTGGTCGCGCAAGTGCGCGTTTGGGCCGGCTGCCTACGCGAGCCCCGTGCTCCTGCTGAGGCCGGGGCCGCCCCCGCTGGGGTTGAGGCAGGCAGTCAGAGGAGGAGAAGGTACCCATACCTCTACCCTTCCTTCTTGGGCCCTCCCAGGAGGCCCTCGTCACTATTGCTGTATTTGCCTCGAAGTCCTGGTCAGGACGCGCCCTGGGAGAGGTCCAGGAAGTAGCGGTATCGGTACCTTTTGATTTCCCCAGGCAGGGCTGGAGGGCTGCGCCGCCAGCGTTGGGTTCCCTCTGATTCTGTTGAGGGCGCCTTGGCTCTAAGCTCGTTGGGGCATAGCGGCATACCCGAGGAGACCTAGGCCGCCATACCCGAAACGACCACTCTGAAGTTACTTGGGCTCGCTCAAAAGCATTAGAACCCAGGTTGCCAACGTGCACTTCTTACGCACGCCCAGCGACCCCACACGCCCGCCTTACGCAGGCTGGCCTGATATTTGGCCTCCCAGAGTTTTAGAAGACTCTCAGGGAGCCCAACGCCAGCGCCGACGCATCGGCGATGCGGCTACATCCCGAGCCCGGGTCTCTGCCTCCCGACGCCGTTGGTGCACTGCCGATGCGTCGGCGATGCTCGGCGGCGCGCGCAAGGGGGGGTAGCGCGAGGGGGGTGGGTGGCCCTCTGAGAAGCCCGCATCCTTTTGGGAAGGCCGGCGCCCTCGCGGCACCCCGCTGTGCGCGTCGCCAAGACTGCGGGACGGGAAAATGACCACAGCCACTGCTTCTTGTTTGCGCCGCCTTCCAGCCGGCCGAAAAAGAAGCATTGGTTGTGGTCATTTCCCTGGTGCCAAGCCCAACGAAAATGACCACAACCACTGCTTTGTTTCTGCGAGCTGGAAGGCGGCAACAAAAGAAAAACAGTGGCTGTGGTCGTTTTCGCGCCCCGTAAAGACGCGGTGCGCTCTTCAGGCCTCGTCCGGGCAGCGAAGGGGAGCGGTGCGGATGGCGCAGGCGTCCGCGCGGAGGCCTGCCCGCAGCAGGGAGGCGCGCCGGCGCCGCCTTCTCCGCGCGCTGTGCCGCGCGGGCGAGGTGCAATTCCCCCCAAACCGCACCGTCGCGCGCGAGGCCCCGTGCCCTCTTGGCTGCTCGCCCTCCCTGACCCCTTCTCCCCCGAGATCCGACGCCGCGACAGCCCTGCAGCATCCTGGAGCAGCTGGCGCCGAGCCCAGGACCCCACCCCTTCCGAGCCCCGAGTCCCGAGTCATCAGGGGCAACTCGGGTCAGGGCTATAACTCGGGTTCGTTTTTCGGGAATCCGAACCCGAGTTGCCCCGGGCCCGAGTTACTCCGGATAATTCGGGCGCCAAACCTCTCTGCTGCACTTGGAGTGACCTTTCGCCGGAGTGACCTTTGGTGCGGGCCCAATGGGTTCCCCATGTCGCCAAACGCGATGCGATAGTAGCGTCTTGCGCGCTTGTGTTTGGTCCCCCCGCGGTCCCCAAAAAGTCGCGCACCAAAGGTCACTCTTACCCAGGGTCACTCTTGCGTGTAGCCGATGTCTGCTGCACTCTTCTCTCGAGCCGGGCCGGTCCGCGAGGCTCCGGGTGCCCGAGGCAGGGCAGGAGGCCGCCCGCCGCGGGAGCGGGCGCGCGGCGCCAGGCTCTCGGGGTCGGTGGCGGCCTCCCGCGTGGCGAGGGGGCCCGAGCGGGCGTCGGCGGAGGTCGAGGTGCGGCTGCTCGTGGGCATCGGGCCGGGGCCCGGGGACGACCTCGTGGGCCCATCTCCCGGGGGCGGAGGCGGGGCGGGGGCCGCCACAGGCCCACAGGCCAGGGTCGGGTCGGGCATGCCCCTCTGCGGGGGGAGTGTTCAAGAACAGGAGGAGCCGGGCAGGTGACGAGTTTCCGTGCTCTTCTGACATTCTTTGTTCCGCCTGTTCTTCCTCCTTCCTCCCGAATCCTGTGCAGGAGGACATGCCCGACCGAAGGCCAGGGCGAGGGCACCGGGGCTGCCCGCGGGCGGTGGGGCGAGGTGGGGCCCGTGCGCGCGCGGGGCGGCCCCCGTGCCCCGTGGCCCGTGGCCAGGCGGGCGCCCCGCCGCCCCAGCTCTGCCCCCGAGCCCAGAGCCGGAGGCTTCCACTGCGTCCGCCAGTCCGCGCGCGTGGGGCCCCGTGGAGCGCCCGTGAGCGGGTGGTCAGGGTGCAGAGGAGGGAGGGGTGCCCCTACCGCTGCCCTCGCCTCGTTTTCGCCGCTGTGGGCCTCCTTGGGGAGGCCCCCGTCGCCACCGCTGGATTCGCCTCGAAGTCCTGGTCAGAACGCACCCTGGGAGATGTCCATGGAGTAGCAGTATGGGTGTCTCTGAGTTTCCCTAAGACTGCCCCTTAAGGGCGCTAGCAAGGCTCGCCCCAGAGAACTCGCCAAGGGACTCGGGGCACTCCACCTGAGTGCCACGGCACTGTGGCGGGCGTGAGGTGCAACATGTGAGATGCAGGCTTTGTGCTGCAGGCTTTGTACTGTAGTTCTCTTGGTCGCTAGATTGTCTGGAGCACGCTTTGTGTGCAAGGTGCTTGGCGCAAGCTATGCGGTGCAGGCTGTGCTGTGCAACACATGGGGGGTGGCCGCTGTGTGATGCAAGCTGTGTGGGCGTCCTGCCACGCGAGCCGGGTGCCGGCGCGCCTCGTGGGCCTCGGCCGGGAGGGGCCAGCCGGAGGAGAGGGAGGGGGAGGAGGCAAGCTATGTGCGTTCGCGTCATATCTAACGTCCTACCCCTCCCTCCCATCCCTTACCATGGCGATGATTTTCTCTACCCGCGGACGCGTGTCGGGGGCTGAGGGGGGGGGTGCTGAAGGGGGGGGGCGCGATCGGTGTTTCGGAGGAGGAGGAGGGGGGAGGAGGATCGACATTTTCGAGGAGAAGGAGTTGGGGAGGCGGAGGAGGAGAGGAGAGGAGAGGGGGGGGGGCGAGTGTGCCTGTGGAAGGAGGGCGGAGCCAAACCGGGCCAGATGCGCTCCCAGACCTCGATCCTCATCCTCTCGAACCTCCTCGGTGCTTCTAGATCTTTGTACAGAAGGAAGGGGAGCGGGGAGGGAGGAGGTCCTGGTCCCAGAGGTCCCCAGAGGCCTACGGAGGCCCCAGATAGGGCCAGATGCGCACCCAGACCTCGATCCTGCTCCTCCGGTGCTTCTGGGTTTTTATTAATATGACAGGGGGGCGGAGAGGTCCCCAGACTCAGAGGCCTCCAGAGGCCCCAAGCAGGGCAAGATGCGCTCTGAGACCTCGATCCTCCTCATCTCGAACCTCCTCGGTTCTTCTGGACCTTCCCCATCCTCAAGAACAGGATGAGGAGGAGGACGAGGAGGAGGAGGAGGAGGAGGAGGAGGAGGAGGAGGGAGGAGGAGGGGGATGTCCTTCTCAGTGGCTCTTCTTTGTTAGGGTGGCCCACCGACGATGGGCCTGGCCCCGCTTGAGCCCCTCAAACGGTGTGGTGACCACGCCGCGGGGTGAGTCAGTGGGGGTTCGGGGTCACCACTCGGTTTTGTGACTTGAGTCGCCTCCAATGATGTCTCGAGCGACCAGGGCCTCCGAGGTCCCAGAACCGTGCGGTGATGGACCGCGCGGTGAGGTCGTTTGGGATTCCCAGGTCACCACGCGGTCACGTCACCACGGTTTGGAACCCCGAAGTCTGGTGTGTGCAGTGGTGGCAGCCTCCCGCCAGAAGCCTGGAGGGAGTCGGATGTGCTGGGCGCGCCTCTGGCGGTCTTCGCGGGGGCGCCGCCCGGGACGGCGCTGCGGTTCGCGCTCGAGGCCCGGCGATGGTGGAGGCGGAGGAGGATGAGAGGCCGATGCCGCTGCCCCTGGCCTTGGCATCGCTCGGACGTGTGCATCTCTTTTCTCCCCGCGAGGACCATCGAGGAGCGTTTTGGGCCATCCTGCGAGAAAAGACACGCACGAAGCCGAAACATGCACGGGGAATGGACGGAGTCGTGGCAGCGCTGGGAACGCTGGGGAGCGCCTGCGAGCGCCTGGGAGCGCGCCAGGAGCGTGCCGGGAGCGCTTGGGAGCGCTTGGGAGCGCCTGGGAAGCGCTTGTTGCCGCGTTCTGTAGGTGTCTCTGAAAGGCCCTGGCCGCTGCGGCTGGATTCACCTCGGATTTTTAGCCAGGACGCGCTCTCCTCCTCCTCCTCCTCCTCCTCCTCCTCCTCTTCTTTTTTGTTGTTGCCACCCCCCAGAGTGGGTGTCCCATTAGGGTGCCTCTCTGGCGCTAAGTTACAGGGTGGCGCCCCTCCAGGCCACCCGAGAGGGTCCAGAAATCAAGTGTTTTCGAGGACTCTGGAAATGACACCACGCGCTCGAAAAATCTCGATTGCTCGGCACAGCATCTGGACGAGGTGCTGTCGCGACAACCCAGGGACCGAGTCATTCCGGAGGCCTTGTGAGGTCGACGCCAGCACCTGTCGGGGCGGTCGCCTTCATCGAGGGAAGCTGATCCCGGTCTCGGTGATGGTGTTAGTGCTCGGGCTTCTCTCCTGTGGCCGAGAGAATACCACCAGCACCTAACTCCAGGATCATCTCCCCCTAGTTGAGGCACCCCCTGAGTTGGTGTTGGTGCCAATTCCCGAGCCTCTAAGGATATGCTGGAAAAGCGCGCTCAAAACTTCCAATCGCATCTTGGATGGGTAGTTTCTTGGCAGCCCAGGGGACGGGCTCCCGGGGAACCGAAAACGAGCAAACACCTTCTCAGTAGCGGTGTTTCCGAATTCTAATCTCTAAATTCCCCTCCCGTGTACCCTTGATTGAATTGAAGTGCCACTCCGGGGGTTTGCATTTTTAACAGAGGACAATATTCCGCGTCAGACTGTGTTGCTGGCCCCTGGTTTACAACACTTGGCAACAATAACAACAACAGCACTATCAACAACAGCAACGACATCAACAACAGCAACATCAACAACAACAACAACAACGACAACGACAACGACAACGACAACAACACCAACAAAACCAGCCAACAGCAACGGCAGCAACAACGACGACAACAACGGCTCCCGCTCGATACTTCCTCACGGCTCATTCACAGTCGCTCTCTCCCGCGTAGGACTTCCCCGCAATTTGTCGCGGCGCCGTGCCCCCGCACTCACGAAAACAACTCTCTTGATTTGGATTTCTTCCAGATTTACTTAGGTTTGAGTCGGGCCTGTCCCTCTTCAGGGGGAATATTCAAACATAGTAAAAGAATAGCCTGGGGACGTTTTTGTTGAGCTTTTTTTGTCCACTTGGGAGTTTGTTTTGAGTACTTTTGCTTTTCGTCGAAAATCCCCCTGTAGGGGACACGCCCGACTTAAACTTAGGTTTTGCGCTGTCACTAAAGCCTTCCTCGCGATTCCCGCGCTGACGGCTCGGCGACCTGCCCGCTCGACCCCGCCGTCCTGGGCCCGCCGCCCGACCCGCCCGCCGGGGTCCCCCCCAGCCCGACCCGCACGTCTGGTGATGCCGCCTGTTTTTGTTGCTCCTCCCCCCTCTCCTGCTAATATTAAGTCGGGCCCGTCCCTCCACAGGAGGAATATTCAAAATTAGGCAAAACATCGTCTGGGGCTTATTTCTCTCATATATACATATATATACATATATATATATATATATATATATCATGTTTGCATTAATTTTTGATTATTCTCTGGCACAGAGTGTCTAGAGCTCCGACCACTTTATTTCGGCACGGCACCCCCTCCATCACCCACACATTCCACCAGCCAGCGCACCCCTCCGCCTCGACCCCCTTTATTTCGGCACGGTACACCCTTCCGCCCCGACCCCTTTTATCTCGGCACGGCACACCCCTCCTCCCCGACGCCCCCCCGCGTCCCCAGTGCCCCAGCGGGGGCCCCGCTCATTGCACCCCTCCGCCACGAACGCTTTATTCCGCGTCGCACCGCCCCCCGCGTCCCCAGCGCCAGAGTGGGACCCCCCAGCCACCGGCCACCGCGCCCTTCCGCCCCGACCTCTTTATTTCGCCACGGCACACCCCTCCACCCCGACTCCATTATTTTGGCACGGCGCCCCCCCCTCGGCACCACCCCACCCAACAGCCAGCGCGCCCCTCCGCCCCGACACCTTTATTTCGGCACGGCACACCCTTCCGCCCCGACCCCTTGATTTCGGCACCGCACACCGCCTCCGCATCCCCTTACCCACCAGCCAGCGCGCCGTTCCGCCCCGACCCCTTTATTTCGGCACGGCACACCCCTCCGCCCCGACCTTTTCATTTCGGCACGACACCCCCTCGGCATCCCCCCCACCCGCCAGCCAGCGCGGCCCTCCGCCCCGACCCCTTTTATTTCGGCACGGCACACCGCCTCCGCATTCCCCCTACCCACCAGCCAGCGCGCCCCCTCCGCCCCGACCCCTTTATTTCGGCACGCCCCCCCCCCCCCCCCCCCCGCATCACCCCACCCACATGACAGCGCGCCGCCTCCGCCCCAACCCCTTTAGTTCGGCACGACACCACCACCCCGCGCGCCCCCTCCGCCCCGACCATTTTATTTCGGCAGGGCACACCCCTCCGCCCCGACGCCTTCATTTCGGCACGGCACACCCACTCCGCATCCCCCCCGACCGCCAGCCAGCGCGCCCCCTCCTCCTCGACCCCTTTATTTCGGCACGGCACCCCTCTCCGCCCCGACCCCTTTGTTTCGGCACGGCGCACCCCTCCGCACCCCCCCACCCACCAGCCAGCGCGCCCCCCCGCGCCGACCCCTTTCTTTCGGCACGCCCCCCCCCCCCCCCCCCCCTCCCGCACCCCCCCACCCACCAGCCAGCGCGCCCCTCCGCCCCGACCATTCTATTTCGGCAGCTCCCCCCCCCCCCCGCGCGCCCCTCGCCCCGACACTTTTTATTTCGGTACGGCACATCCCTCCGCCCCGACGCCTTTACTTCGGCACGGCACGCCCCCTCCGCATCCCCCTCCGCCCACCAGCCAGCGCGCCCTCCGCCCCGACCCCTGTGTTTTCGGCACGGCACACCCCTCCGCCCCGACGCCCCCCCAGCGTCCCCAATGCCCCAGCGGGGGCCCCGCTCACTGCACCCTTCCGCCACGAACGCTTTATTCCGCGTCGCCCCCCCCCCCCCCGCGTCCCCAGCGCCAGAGTGGGACCCCCGCGCCGTGGCTCTGTGCCCCGAGCCCCCCCGCGTCCCCGGCCCCAGCGGGAACCCCGCCCACTGCCCCCTCCGCCACGAACGCTTTATTCCACGTCGACGCACCCCCCCCTCCCCTCCCGCGTCTCCAGCGCCCTGTGGGGGCTCCGCCCCGTGCCCCCTCCGCCACGAACGCTTCATTCCGCGTCGCGACGCGCACCATCTCCCCCCCTTACCCCCCCCGTCTCCAGCGCCCCAGTTGGAACCCCGCCCTGTGGCCCTCTGCCCCAAGCCCCGCCCAGTGCCCCCTCCGCCCCGACCATTGTATTCCGCGTCGCGAAGCACACCACCTCCCCCCTCCCCTCCGCGCCCCCAGCGCTCCAGTGGGACCTCCGCCCCGTGCCCCCTCCGCTCTGAGCACTTTATTCCGCGTCGCGACGCACACCACCTCCCCCCTCCCCATCTGGGATTTGGGCCCCGTTGCTGGGCCCCGAGGGGCGATGCCTTGCCCCCTCTTCCCCCCTTCTCCTCCACCTCCTCCTCCTCCTCCTCCCTTTCATTCTGTGCAAGAGCCATGGCGCACGTGCCACTTGTTGTTCTTGTTGTTGCTGTTGTTGATGATGATGATGTTGATGTTGTTGTTGTTGTCGTCGTCGTCATCGTCGCCGTTGAACTCCCACCACTGAAGAATAATGACTGTTGGTCTCGCCCGGGTGACCATTGTGTTTTATCGATTAAAAGTAACCCCCCTGGGGTTCGCATCCTTGTTATATATATATATATATATATATATATATATATATATATATATATATATATATATATGTATGTATGTATGTATGTATGTATATATACATATATATATATATATATATATATATGTATATATATACACACGAAATTCAGGGAAAGCCATTCGGCTCACACTGTACCCCTGGTCCCTGGGTTACAGCAGCACCTGTTCCCGCTGGATATTTCCTTACAGTTTAGCCAAGACCACTGCTCCCGCCTGAGACTTCCTCGCGTTGTACCCAGGAGTCGCGCTCTCGCTTCGGACTTCCTGACAATGTATTAAGGACTCGCTCTCTCGGCGCTTTGGATTCGCGCTCTCGCTGGAGACTTGCTCGCAATTTCCTTCAGAATCGCGCTCTTGCGTTGGAATTCTCGCAATTTGAACAAGCGCCGCGCTCCCGACACTCAGGCACCCAGGAGTCGCGCTGACGCTTAGGACTCCTTGGCAGCTTCCTAGGGATCGGGATCTCGCTGCCCTTGCCTCCTCGCTGCCCTTCGTGGGCCCGTTGCAGCCCTTCGTGGCCCTCTCGCTGCCCGCCGTGGCCCCGTTGCAGCCCTTCGTGGCCCTCTCGCTGCCCTTCGTGGTCCCGTTGCAGCCCTTCGTGGCGCCCTCGCTGCCCTTCGTGGCCCCGTTGCAGCCCTTCGTGGCCCCCTCGCTGCCCGTCGTGGCCCCTTTGCAGCCCTTCGTGGCCCCCTCGCTGCCCTTCGTGGCCCCGTTGCAGCCCTTCGTGGCCCCCTCGCTGCTCCTCGCTCCGTTATCATCCGACTCTCGACTTCTACCTCCACCAATCGACCTCCACCCTCCACCAGCACAACATCCCGACCTCAAATCTCTAGCCTCCGACTTCCCGTTTCCACCGCCAATCGACCTCCAGTGTATGGGCCTTCGGCTGCGCGTGTGTCTGCGCTTGAGTGGTATCTGAAGGATGTGTCAAAGAGCTCGTGAGAACACGAGTGACCCTGCGCCCGTGTACACTGGATTGGAGTTCCGAGGCGTTCAAATCGTTCGTATTTGGTTTGGGCTTCGCGGTTACAGACAGGACGATGCCATCCACGGGATTATCCGACACGTGCATGCCACAGACACTACGACTTCAACGAAGTTGCGACACTACATCGGATTACAACAGAGGAGTGGGAACAATTGGAACATCAACTCGTGAGGTACGCATTATCCTGAGCAAGCCTCTGACGCGCGCTGCCTCTCATGCGAGGCCATGGCCTCACCCACCTCGCCCTTCAGGGGCCCAGGCGCATACGCGCACAGGCGATCCGATCCGATCCGATCCGCTGCCCTTCGTGGCCCCGCTGCAGCCCTTCGTGGCCCCCTCGCTGCCCTACGTGGCCTCATATCAGTATGCCTTTTGTGGTCCCCGCTCGTTCGCGCCCGTCGTGGTCCCATATGCATGCGCTTCGTGGCCCCGCTGTCGCCCTTCGTGACCCCCTCGCTGCCCTTCGTGGCCCCCTTCGTGCCCTCAGT